ACGCAAGTGATCTTTCTCCTTTCTTAAGCATTTGTACCACATTAGCTACCTTGCATGACTCTGGCACTCTGCCTGACTATTGATTTATTAAATATGGTTGACAATGGCTCGCAAAGGTCCTCTTTGCATTCTTTAAGCACCCTGATTTTGATTGTTGGCGCCGGAGGCGGCTAGTTTATTGTGCACCCCATACCCATCCTGTGAGCGGTAGCGCAAAAAGCATTACAGAGGGCACAAAAGGTCTTTATCAGACCTCATCTTATATTATTACAAACAATTTCATATATCCTTCACACCTTATAGTTACAATGTCAGCTAGTTACAGAGAAAGTGCTATTTCAAGAGCTATATATTTACAGTAAGTCATCATACATTAATGGTAGGTTTTATCGCTAATACATAATAGTTTGACCAATGGAGAAGGAAATAGGGTAGCTTCTGTTTATTATTAGTCTTCACAATACACTACTTGTTTCTTCATTTCATATGTCGTTCATCTACTGTAAGCGAAATATGGATACAGTGCATGGATTTCAGGTAATTTATCCATGGTAATAAGATAGGTTGCCATATCATACAGAATGAGCTTAGATTTATCTCTAAATGACTCAATTTTACTACAATCCAAGATATAGTGTTCGAATGTAATGCGGGGGGTAATGATGTTGGACGAGTTAAGAGTGAGGAACTAATACAGAGATTCAGGACAGCCAATGAATTAGTTAGGAGCAAGGGAGGAATCCCAATCATATGTGGCATTCTTCCAAGAAAGGGAGTGGGAATGAATGGATGTCGAGGGCTCTTGGTGTAAATTGCCGGCTAGAAAGATATTGCAAATCAAATGCAATATCTTTCATAGACAACTGGGAACACTTCTATGGAAGAAATAAAATGTATGCTCGTGATGGGGTGCATCTATCGAGAGCTGGGGTTGTTGCTGTTGCGAACTCGTTGGAAGAAGTGGTTAGAGGTGTTTGGGTTTAAACTGTTAGTAGATAGAGGTATGGGAATTGATTTGGAGGAAGGAGGTAATAAAAGTATGTGTTTGTGGAAGAAAAGAATTGGCAAAATGATCAGGGAAAGAGAAGGGCCTCAAAATAACAATTCACTTAGCGTATATTACACTACCAGTAGAAGTCTAAGAAATAAAATTAACGAATTAAATGCTCTTGTCTGCACAGAAAAAATAGATATTGTTGCACTTACCGAAACGTGGATGAATGTAGAAAATAGAGAACTATTAGCTGAATATCAAATAAATGGATTTAAACTATTTCACACAGATAGATATATTAGACGAGGAGGTGGAGTAGCCATATATGTTAGGGACAATTTGAAATGTAGTCTCAAAGAAGGAATCAAAACTGAGCCACACACAGAAACTATTTGGATAGAATTAAACGAAAAAGCAAATAATATTATAATAGGAGTTATATATAGGCCACCAAATTTAGACAGAATGGAAGCAAAGCATCTATGGGATGAAATGTCTAGGGCATCTAGATCTAACAGTATTTATGTCATGGGTGACTTAAATTTTAGTGGAATAAACTGGTTGAACAAAACAGGGAATAGTGAAGCAGAAGATTTTCTAGAATTAATTGACGATTGCTTTCTTACGCAACACATTAAGGAACCAACACGGGAAAATAATATTTTAGATTTAGTGTTAACTAACAGGGAAACACAAATTAATGACATCGAAATAGGGAGTGAGCTAGGGAACAGTGATCTCAAAGAAATCAGATTTACCATAGAATGGAATAGACCTGTAGGAGAAAATTCTGTTAAAGTGCCAGATTTTCGAAAAGCTGATTTTAATAGCCTAAGAAATTTTTTGGGTCAAATTGATTGGAATGTCTTGGGTATGGGGTGTGGGCCGGTCTTGGAGCGAGACATGAACCCAGCGATAGGTGACGTAATTGGGGATTTCGATGTGGATTCAATATATAACTTATTTAAGAATATTCTAGGGAAAGGATAGGTCCATTAAAAACTGAGACAGGTCAAATAACAGATAGTGATGAAGAGATGTGTAATATTTTTAATAAATATTTTGTATCTGTATTTACTAAGGAGGAACTTAATAATATGTCTTCAGCCGAACAAGTCTATTTGGGTGGGGACGAGGACAGGTTGACGAGGATGACCACCACAATAGACTACTAACCAGACCACCACCACCACCACAGACAACTAACCAGACCACCACCACCACCACAGACTACTAACCAGACCACCACCACCACTACCACCACCACCAGACTACTAACCAGACCACCACCACCACCACCACAGACTACTAACCAGACCACCACCACCACAGACTACTAACCAGACCACCACCACAGACTACTAACCAGACCACCACCACCACCACATACTACTAACCAGACCACCACCACCACCACAGACTACTAACCAGGCCACCACCACCACCACAGACTACTAACCAGACCACCACCACCACCACAGACTACTAACCAGGCCACCACCACAGACTACTAACCAGACCACCACCACCACCACAGACTACTAACCAGACCACCACCACAGACAACTAACCAGGCCACCACCACAGACTACTAACCAGACCACCATCACCACAGACTACTAACCAGACCACCACCACCACCCCAGACTACTAACCAGACCACCACCACCACCACAGACTACTAACCAGACCACCACCACCACCACAGACTACTAACCAGACCACCACCACAGACTACTAACCAGGCCACCACCACAGACTACTAACCAGACCACCACCACAGACTGCTAACCAGACCACCACCACCACACTACTACAGACTACTAACCAGACCACCGCCACCACAGACTACTACCAGACCACCACCACAGACTACTAACCAGACCACCACCACCACCACCACCACAGACTACAAACCAGACCACCACAGACTACTACCAGACCACCACCACAGACTACTAACCAGACCACCACCACCACCACAGACTACAAACCAGACCACCACCACCACCACAGACTACTACCAGACCACCACCACAGACTACTAACCAGGCCACCACCACAGACTACTAACCAGACCACCACCACAGACTACTAACCAGACCACCACCACCACCACAGACCACCACCACCACCACCAGACTACTAACCAGACTACCACCACCACCACCACAGTCTACTAACCAGACCACCAACACAGACTACTACCCAGACCACCACCACCACAGACTACTAACCAGACCACCACCACCACCACACACTACTAACCAGACTACCAATACCAGCTGCAGCTATTGGCCCATACGAGACAGCTGCTATTGGCCCATACGAGACAGCTGCTATCGGCCCATACAAGGCAGCTGCTATTGGCCCATACGAGGCAGCTGCTATTGGCTCATACGAGGCAGCTGCTATTGGCCCATACGAGGCAGCTGCTATTGGCTCATACGAGGCAGCTGCTATTGGCTCATACGAGGCAGCTGCTATTGGCCCATACGATAGCAGCTGCTATTGGCTCATACGAGGCAGCTGCTATTGGCCCGTACGATAGCAGCTGCTATTGGCTCATACCAGGCAACTGCAATTGGCCCATACGAGACAGCTGCTATCGGCCCATACGAGACAGCTGCTATTGGCCCATACGAGGCAGCTGCTATTGGCTCATACGAGGCAGCTGCTATTGGCCCATACGACAGCAGCTGCTATTGGCTCATACCAGGCAGCTGCTATTGGCTCATACGAGGCAGCTGCTATTGGCCCATACGAGGCAGCTGCTATTGGCCCATACGATAGCAGCTGCTATTGGCTCATACGAGGCAGCTGCTATTGGCCATACGAGGAAGCTGCTATTGCTATTTGTTTGGTCTGAGTTAAAATATTTGTTTAATTACATTCTGGTAACTGCTAAACTAGTCAACCTGTCCTCGTCCCCACCCTCACAGACTTGTTCGGCTCAAGGCATATTGTTAAGTTCCTCTTCAGTAAATACAGAGATAAAGTATTTATTAAAAATACTACTCATCTCTTCGTCATTATCCGTTATCTGACCTGTCTCAGTTTTTAATGGACCTATCCTTTCCCTAATCTTTGATATAACTGAAAAACCCCTTTAGGATTTGTCTTTGATTGCCCTGCTATGCGAACTTCATAGTTTCTTTTTGCCCTCCTTATTATCTCTCTTTTTTTAATATTTCTAACCTTTGTATGAATTTCTGTTCTAAACTGACTTCCTCATTCTTAGTCCTTTTGTACCACGCTCTTTCTACCTATAAGGTTCTTCAGATCCTTTGTTATCCATTGCGGGTCATTAGTATTCGATCTATTCAGTTGTGTATTGTATACTACGTTCCTGTGAAATCTAGTGAGTAGTAGAGATGAAGATAGTGAGTAGTGAAGATGAAGTTCTTATATAGTTGAGGCAGTTGCCACATGAAAGACTGATTAAAAAGATAGAGGCCCATGGTATTGGAGTTGCTATATTAAAAATTGGGGTGCTATAGAAAGGCGAAGAATTAGGGGTGACATGATAGAGGTGTACAAGTGAATGAATGGGCATAACAAAGGGGATATTAATAGGGTATTAAAAGTAACAACACAAGACAACACGAAACAGTGGATATATATATTGGATGAGTTTACATTTAAGAAAGACCTGGCTAAATACTGGTTCGGTAACAGGGTTGTTGATTTGTGGAACCAATTATCGCTTAACGTGTTGGAGGTGGGGTGTAAAATTTTCTTTCTCAAAGATTTCCTTGTCACCTCTCACCTTCTCCACACCTCTCTCTAGACTATATATAGAAAGAAGTCTCCTTCTTTCATCACAATCGACTTGAGAACGGTACAGGACAGACCAAACCTTTGTCGTACCTTCATTGTCTACTGTGTGGTTTGGTCAACTCTGGTCCATCTTGACTAATATCATCTAGGATATTAATATCAAGTTAACGGGACTAGTCAGTGGCTTACAAGAAGTTAACGGGTCAGAGGCTTACCAAGAGTCAAGATGAAACTTCTCGGTTCAGGGACGTATGGGACGGTGTCCCTCATGGACTGGGACGGTCAGCCAGCAGCGCTGAAAGTAGCAAAATCTTCAGAGTTTTCCGAGATGTTTGAAAGAGAAGGTAACGTGCTCTCGTTACTGAATGGTGCAGGAGGCGCCCCTTTGTTGTTGCATAGGTCAGTGAATCCACCATCACTTGTGACCACCTATAAAGGCAACCAGACCCTACTTGATGTCTTGAGAAATCCACAGTATGACCTACTTGACGTAGGACTTCAGGTTGGTATAAAGCTAAATGAGATCCATGAAGCCGGCTTAGTACACAATGATATAAAGTGTGATAACATCATGATCCAAGGTCCGCCTCACAAACCAAACATTAGCATAATAGATTTTGGTTTTGCGTCCAAAAACAAGGTCAAAATTTTCCTTGAGGGACACCCTTGTATTCATACAACATATGCCCCCGAAGTCCTTCAGAAAAAGGAAAGTACTTTTGCCTCAGACGTATATTCTTATGGGAAATTAATGTTGGAGATAACGAAGCTGTTACCCAAGCAACACCCGTCCCTCGATAAGTTGCTTCGCGAAGCAACACACAAGACCCCAAGGAGGCGCCCAACCCTTCCTATTTTCCTGCGACGCTTAAGGGAATCCATTGACAAAATTTCTACGAAACTGGAAAGTCCCCCCAAAAGCAGGTTACCAGTGCGACATCTGAGAGTGTAAACATCCAACACGGCGAGAAAATGCGACAACGCCGGACAAAACGCGGAGCCCAAGAGGAATCGGCGCACTTTTTAAGTATTATATTCTTGGAATTTATTGCATTTTTTAATAAAGTATATCAGTTTTAATTTGTTTTTACTATACTACTACGTTTAATAATGTGTGTGTGTGTTATGGATGGGAGGGGGGTGTAATATATGTGTAATAGGCAATACATAATAAGAACATAAGAATAAAAGAAACTGCAGATGGCCAATTGGCCCATACAAGGCAGCTAGTATTTATAACTATCCAATTCCGCTCATAAACATGTCCAACCCACGTTTGAAGCAATCGAAGGACCCCACCTCCACCACGTTACGCAGTAATTGGTTCCACAAATCAACAACCCTGTTACCAAACCAGTATTTACCCAGGCCTTTCTTAAATCTAAACATTGTTTCGTGTTCTGTATTGTGTTGATACTTTTAATATCCCCATTGTTATGACCATTCATCCACCTGTACACCTCTATCATGTCACCCCTAACTCTTTTTTGTCTTTCTATAGCAAAGACGCCATTTTTTAATATAGAACCCCAAATTTAAAATGTAGCAACTCCAATACCATGAACCTCTATATTTTTAATCAGTCTTTCATGCGGCACTATCAAAAGCTTTGATAAAGTCAAGGAACACAACATCACAAACCTTACCACTATCTTCTTTCTTCCTAGTTGTTGTTCTTAGTAACAAGACCAGGTGGTGTTCTTCAGCTATATCTTGCTCTGTTAGGCCCCATTTAGATTATGCAGTTCAGTTTTGGTCGCCGTACTATGGAATATATATAAATTCACTTGAACGTGTCCAGCGTAGGATGACAAAGTTAATTCCCCAAATCTTTCACATGAAGAAAGATTAACAAAGCTTAAATTGCATTCGAAGAGTTGGGTGTCATCTAGGATATTATAGCAGGTTATCATCTACGATAATATAGTAGGTTATCATCTAGGATATTATAGTAGGTTATCATCTAGGATATTATAGCAGGTTATGATCTAGGTTGTCATCTAGGATATTATAGCAGGTTTCATCTAGGATATTATAGCAGGTTCTCATCTAGGATATTATTGCAGGTTATTGTCTAGGATATTATTGCAGGTTATCATCTAGGTTGTCATCTAGGATATTATAACAAGTTGTCATCTAGGATATTATAGCAGGTTATCATCTAGGATATTATAGCAGGTTGTCATCTAGGATATTATAGCAGGTTCTCATCTAGGATATTATAGCAGGTTATCGTCTAGGATATTATTCCAGGTTATCATCTAGGATATTATTGCACGTTATCATAATGGTTATCATCTAGAATATTATAGCAGGTTATCATTTAGGTTGGCATCTTGGATATTATAGCAGGTTGTCATCTAGGATAATATAGCAGGTTATCATATATGTTGTCATCTAGGATATTATAGCAGGTTATCATCTAGGATATTATAGCATGTTATCATCAAGGATATTATACCAGGTTGTCATCTTGGAAATAATAGCAGGTTGTCATCTTGGAAATAATAGCAGGTTGTCATCTTGGATATTATACCAGGTTATCATCTAGGATATTATAGCAGGTTATCATCTAGGATATTATAGCAGGTTGTCATCTAGGATATTATAGCAGGTTGTCATCTAGGATATTATAGCAGATTGGCATCAAGGATATTATAGCAGGTTGGCATCAAGGATATTATAGCAGGTTGTCATCTAGGATATTATAGCAGGTTGTCATCTAGGATATTATAGCAGGTTGGCATCAAGGATATTATAGCAGGTTGTCATCTAGTATATTATAGCAGGTTGTCATCTAGGATATTATAGCAGGTTGTCATCTAGGATATCATAGCAGGTTATCATCTAGGTTGTCATCTAGGATATTATAGCAGGTTGTCATGTAGGATATTATAGCAGATTATCTTCTAGGATATTATAGCAGGTTATCATCTAGGATATTATAGCAGGTTATCATCTAGGATATTATAGCAGGTTATCGTCTAGGATATTATAGCAGGTTATCTAGGATATTATAGCAGGCTGTCATCTAGGATATTACAACAGGTTATCTATGATATTATAGCAGGTTGTCATCTAGGATATTATAGCAGGTTATCATCTAGTATATTATAGCAGGTTGTCATCTAGGATATTATAGCAGGTTGTAATCTAGGATATTACAGCAGGTTATCATCTAGGATATTATAGCAGGTTGTCATCTAGGATATTATAGCAGGTTATCATCTAGGATATTATAGCAGGTTGTCATCTAGGATATTCTAGCAGGTTATCATCTAGGATATTATAGCAGGTTGACATCTAGGATATTATAGCAGGTTGTTATCTAGGATATTATTGCAGGTTGTCATCTAGGATATTATTGCAGGGTGTCATCTAGGATGTTATAGCTGGGTGTCTTCTAGGATATTATAGCAGGTTGTCATCTAGGATATTATAGCAGGTTGTCATCTAGGATATTATAGCAGGTTAACAGAGTAGTCCTCGATCGCTTGGCCCCCCCCCCCCACTCCCTTTGGTTTGGCGCTTTCCCCTGATAGTTCCTTTCCCTTCCCCCCTCTCCTCTTTCATATAATATATTAAGGAGTAATGAAACTACTGTTTTGTATAAGTAAATTTTTGTTATTAACACATTAGGTACATTTGCATTTGTGAGTTACCCTAGACTACATGAAGGGGAGTACAGTGTCAAAAAGTTAGCTTCGTGTTAAACATCCTTATCACACAGGATGGTTAGTCATTCAGGGTCATATGTTCAGTAGCCTGCACTGGCAAATTTTGAGTGCAATATGAGGATATCTTCAAGAACACGAGAGAGAATAAAGTAATTGCAAAGCTCCAGGTACCTCATGCCAACTGGTCTGAAAGGTCTAATAACTGGGCATTCGGTGATGTAGTGTGGGAGATCATGCAGCAGTTCCTGCTCACAGAGTTTGCACCTAGAGTGCTCAGGATTGGGAGGTCCGTCACCTGTAGCCACCTACCACAGGTAACGGTAGCCACCTGCCACAGGTAACGGTAGCCACCTGCCACAGGGAACGGTAGCCACCTGCCACAGGTAACGGTCGCCACCTGCTACAGGTAACGGTAGCCACCAGCTACAGGTAACGGTCGCCACCTGCCACAGGTAACGGTAACCTGATCCTGATAACCACTGTCTCGCACAGTCTGGTGGACGGTGCTGCCACCTTTCCACAACAAATAACGGTACCAACCTGCCAAAGCTCAACTCTGCAACCACAACTGATACAGAAGGGAAGCACTGTCTCGCACAGTCTGGTGGACGTTTGCATGTGCTGAGAGACATAAATATAGGTTTCAGATCTGAACAAATCAGGCGGGACCAAAGAGCCAAAGCTCAACTCAGCAAGACACAACTACATGAGTACAGAGACAGGGAAGCATACATGCATGTAGACAGAGAGACAGGGAAGCATACATGCATGTAGACAGAGAGACAGGGAAGCATACATGCATGTAGGCAGAGAGACAGGGAAGCATACATGCATGTAGGCAGAGAGACAGGGAAGCATACATGTATGTAGACAGAGGCAGGGAAGGAGTCATTAATGCCAGTAAACAGACGGGTAGGGATGGAAGCATGGAGACGGGCAAGCCTTGTGGGAGAGGATCATTCATTGATTTTAATGGAATGGAGCGGGAAGAGGAATATGTTGGGGGAGGGAGGGTAATAGGGGCTCTCCTTCCCTACTTCTTTGTTATTGTTGGGGATACCTGTTGGGGTTATTGTTGTTGGGGACTCGTTGGAACCTGTGGTTGGAGGCGTTCGTTTGGGTTTAAACTGTTAGTAGATAGTGGTATGGGAATTGTTATGGAGGAAGGAGGTAATAAAAGTATGTGGGAGAAACAACTTGGCAAATAATATATATATATATATATATATATATATATATATATATATATATATATATATATATATATATATATATATATATATATATATATAGGGTGTTATATATGTGTAATAGGTAATACATAATAAGAACATAATAAAGGTAACTGCATAATTCCTACTGGCCCATACGAGGCAGCTCCTATTTATAACCACCCAATCCCACTCATAATCATGTCCAACCCACGTTTGAAACAATCGAGGGACCCCACCTCCACCACGTTATGCAGTAATTGGTTCCACAAATCAACAACCCTGTTACCGAACCAGTATTTACCCAAGTCTCCTAAATCTAAATTTATTCAATATGTCCATTCATCCACTTGTAATCCTTTATTATGTCAACCCCAACTCTTTGCCTTTCCAGTGAATGCAATTTAAGCTTTGTTCATCTCTCTTCATATGACAGGTTTCTAATTTGGGGAATTGACTTTTGTCATCCTACGCTGGACACGTTCAAGGGAATTTATATCCATTCTATAGTACGGCGACCAAACCTGAACTGCATAATCAAAATAGGGCCTAACAGAACAAGGTGTATTGTTACTAACGCTTCGATTAATAAATCCCAGTGACCTATTTGCCATATTACGAACATTCATGCATTTAAATTTTCTTTTAAATCTTACTAGTCATAACTCCCAGATCCCTTTTGCAATCCGACATCGCAATCTCAACACCATCTAACTCTTATCATCATTACCTAGCCTCAAAACTTAACGTTTATCAGCATTAAACTGCATCTGCCAATCTTTTGACCATTTCAAATCCCTATTTAGATAGACTTGAAGTGATAGTGAGTCTTCTGTGTCTATTTACCTCCCGATTTTTGTATCAGCAAATTTCCAAATGTTGCTACTCGAACCTGAATCTAAATCATTTATATCTATAATAAACAATAGAGGTGCCAGGACAGAGCTTTGAGATACTTCACTTACAACATTTTCCCACTCTGACTAAATCCCATTTATACTAACTCTCTGTTTCCTTTGGTATAGCCATACCCTAATCCAACTTAATATAGCACCGCCAATACC